GGCTGGAGCGAAGGCAACAGGTAGACAGGGTCTTGCGTTGGTGACATGGTTGGCGTTTTGCTGGCATTACTGTGCATTTATCGGTTTCTGGCCCTTCTGCAATCACCTGTCGAGCTTCAGCTGTGCGGGTCCCAAATCCCGCAGCGGGGCAAGATGCAACAGCAGCTTTCGATGAGAGGTGAAGGTCCCGTAGACCCGAGGGTTGAGCTCCTTACCACACGGAGCTCGGAAGCCGTACTTTCTGGTGCGGCGAAAACAACTGGTTCAAATACTGGTCGTGCAACTCAGCACTCGGTGATTCGTAAACATGCTTATCGACGAGCACGTAGAAGAGCAGAGCAGGCCGGGGGTACTTTCTATAGAGGACGCTGGATGAGCGCAGAGTCGCTTGGGACAGTGCTTCGAAATCCGGACAACGCCGAAGCACGGCCTCGACCAAAACCAGACCTGGCACCTAATCGTCATAACCCTCGCCTTCGCGTACGCAGTTACAACGTGGGTGGAGTCACTAGCGCTGTCTACGACTACTTGCATCATTGGCTCACCACGGAATGTCAGGACGATGTGCTGATTTTACAAGAATTGCACTGGGGCTGCGGCCGCTCAGAGGGAACATGGCAAATCCCTGGATGGCTTCTAGTGGTCAGTGCCGACGCAGCACACAGGTTTTCTGGAGTAGGCGTGGCCATTTCCACGAGAGTGGTGTCATCTGATCTCGTAAATTTTCGCACCATCATACCAGGACGCCTCTTACATGTTCGATGCTCCGATGAGAAAAAGACGCTGGACATAGTCGCTGGCTATCAGTGGGTACGCTCTGAGACGGGTGCGAAATCCACGCTGGAGCAACAGAGTCTTTTCTGGTCTAAACTTGGGGCGCTCTTGCACGAACTGCCTACCAGGAATCTTGTCGTTGTTGGAGCAGATTTTAATACTAGGTGCAAACCTGTTCCTGGCTTAATTGGCCGAGGCACCCTGCCCACAAAACATGCCCCTGATGCTGAATTTGAGACCCTTCTAGTTGAGCATCAACTTGTGCTTCTTAACACTTGGGGACGATCTAATGTTGCTGCTTGTCGTACCTTTCATCGTGGTTCCGTTTCTAGTCAGATAGACTTCATTGCAATGCGTAGGCCCACCGCTGATCGGGTAGCGCGCTTCTGCAAGCCTGTTGATTTTGACTTAGCGCCGTGGCGCGGGGGTGCTAAGCACCGGGCTATAGTGGCCAGCATCCCTTGGAAGGCAGGCTGGACCTTTCATCGTCGTACAATCTCGACCCCTAGGTTTTCCCTTCCTCAGCTAAGGCAATCTGTACAACAGTGGGATGTCAGAGCTCAGGAACTGCAAGCGTGGGTGACTTACACTCTTCAGCATGCCAGCCCGGAAACCACCCTAAATTTTCTTAATCAGCAGGTGCTCATGCACTGCGCACGCTTGTACCCGCCCACCCAGCATGCTGCTAACAAGCCCTCCACTCAGCCGGCTGTAGTCTGTAGCATTCAGGCCATGAAAGTAGCGCGACAGGCCCTTCAGGCTCATAGGGGTTCACACACTCTTCGAGGAATCTTTACTGCTTGGAAGCTGCATGCTGTTTTTCAGAGAAGAGGCCGAGAGCTCCGCGCAGCCAGCAAGGAGTCGCGCAGGCAATGGTTTGAGGGCTATATTCAGGAGGCAGAAGCGGCTGCTTCGCGCAATGATCTAGGCGCTGTATACAGGGTTGTCAATAAGCTTGCACCGCGCAAGCGCCTTGAAAAGGTTCGCATACGTGGTGCTGATGGGGAGCTCTTAGGTCCGCGCGCGGAGTTTCAAGCCATCCTCACATACTTTCGTAGAGCGTTCGATGGTGCCGAGGCTCCCACCTTCGTAGACCCCCAACCAGTGGTGTTCGACCAAGAGGAAGTCCTCCGCGCCATCAGTGGCCTCAAACTAGGTAAAGCCGTGCCGCCAACCAGCGCTCCGGCGGAGGTGTGGAGCTTGTGCCCAGAGCAATATGCAGCGCACTTGACAGGACTTTTGAACCAAGCCTGTCAACTCCCGGTTCAGCTGCCGGGCGAAGTCACAGACTGCGTCCTGTCGTTACTTCCCAAGCCTAATAAGACCAGCAAACTCCCCTCTGATCTTAGGCCGTTGGGGTTGCAAGACTCTAAAATAGTTGCCATTACTGTTAGAGAACGACTGCAACAGTATGTCAGTGACTTCGTGAATTCTAAGCCACAATATGCATACATCACTGGTAAGGCCATCGATGGTGCCATCTCCCGCGTTATGGCACACTGCTCGGCGATTAGGGAACAGCTGAAAACCACATGCCCCACAGTTCATGACCGGCGGGCACAGCACAGCTACAGCAACTGCAGTGGCGGTGCCATGATGAGCCTCGACCTCAGTCGAGCATTCGACGAGGTCCCCCGGGAGGCTTTGCGTGCCTCTTTGCAGCATGCCGGTGTGCCAGCGGAGCTCCAACACCTCATCGTTGCACTTCATGAACAATGTGTCTATACGGTGACGCACAAACGGCAATCGGGCACCTTTCCGATGCGGAAAGGTGTCCGACAGGGCTGTGCCCTAAGTCCACTTTTATTTACACTCTACACATGTCACATCTACGATGTGTTGGTGAGTCGCACATCGGAAGCTTGGGCTGCACAGGCAGCTACGCTGTTTGCGGATGATACCCACTTCGCATGGACGATCAAGTCAATTTCAGACTTAAAATTTATGATCAAATGCGTTCGGGTGACCTTTCAGACCTTCAAGGAGTTTGGGATGACCTTAAACATGGATAAGTCCCGTATCATCCTCAAGCTGCGTGGAGGAGCTGCTCGATGCTGGCTTAAAGCGCATACGAAGCGTACGTCCCAGGGACCCGTTCTCCAACTTGGAACCCCACATGCGCCAATTGACATTCCCCGGGTTCACCGCATCGTGTATTTAGGCGTTGTGGCGTCCTATACAGCCTTTGAGCAGCAAACGTATGCGCACCGCCAGCAGGCCGCACTTGCATGCAAGCACCGCCTTGGAAGGGTTCTTCGCAGTCGCAGACTGCGTCTGAAACAACGGGTCAGGCTACATATTGCGTGTGTCCGCAGCAGTTTACTGTATGGTTTGCATGCTGTCGGTATCACTCCCGCAGTCGCTAGACGCCTAGTGCAGTTTGACAATCGATCATTGCGGGCTCTGTCACGATCGCCGGCCTTTCTCTCCCATGAGAGCACCTCCAACTTGAGAAGGCGGCTTGAAGCCTCTGACCCGTTGCAAACCCTGCGAGGAACTCTTCAGCGTAGAATTGCCAAGAGTACTGATCCTGTCACCACAGACTGGTGCCGTGCCAAGCTTGAAGCGCTAGAGGCTATTCTCCTGCAGGCTCCGGTTGCCTCACCTGAAGTTGAGGATATCTGCACTGGTGTGCCTTGCCCTGACTGTGGTCAGTACTTCCTTAACGTGCGCATTATGAGATCACATAGAGCCCGGAGCCACCATGTCAAACAGCCTCGGCACCAGTCTGGAGTTCTTGCAGCAGATCAGTATGTTGCTGGAGGCGTTGATGGCATGCCAACCTGTAAAACCTGTTTTAAGAGATTCACTAGGGTTGAGGGGCTGAAGAAACACCTCAAGAAGGGCTGCATAGCAGTTGAAGGGTCGTCTGCTTGTTTGTCGGGTGGGACGGTCACCGTGCTCTCAGATCAGGTCCCTGAAGCACGGGAGGAGTTGCTGGGGCATTCGTGCCGGACTCCTCAGACTGTCCCGCCTTGTCATGCGCCATCAACGCCCAGTACTAACGACACTGCCGCTGTCGCGCTCGTGCGTCAGCCTCTTTTCCGTGATCAGTCCGCGCAGAACTGGAGACTGCCGCTGCGGGACAAAGCCTTTTGTGCAAAACTGTCCGAATATTGTGTGCTGAAGCAACACCAGCGCCTCATGCATCCTCGTGAATGGGCCCTTCATGATGCCGCTATCTCTCAATGCTGCAGCGCGGGCCTGCGTTCAGTGCACACCTGTAGTTACTGCGGCGCCGCTGTCAAGCAGCCAGGCCGGCACCTGAAACATTGCACTGTTCTCTATCAGGCTTCCCTAGCTGCCCTTGTCATCGCGCAGGCCCATGCCGACGATGGATATCGACGCGGAGGAAGCAGCCCGGGCGCAGACCGCGAGGGAGGAGATGCTCATGGTGCTGGGGGGACAGGCCCCAGCGGAGATACCCAACCCGAATGCCTCGGGCGAGCCGGAGAAGGAGAACGACGCGGACGAGGAAAATCGTCGCAAATGGCCGAAACCGTCAGCCAAGGGCGGGAAGGGAGCTCAGCACGGAGGGTGGCACGGAAGCTGGGGGAGCCAGAAGCGCCAGTGGGAGTCCCATCGGGACAGCTCCTCTTCGGAGCAGCTTCCCCAGCTGGACAAAGCCACGCAGGACTTGATGCGGGGCATGGTTCGAGTTGTATTAAGGCACGAAGCCGAGATCCAAAGGCTCAAGACGGACATCGGCTATATGGCCTTCATAGATACTTCCGGCCTCGGGTGCCTGCCAACTTTGAGGCAAACTGCCGACAACTGGCAGGAGTAGTTCTCTCAGGGAACTGTGAAGAGCCCGCTCCGCTTGGTTCTCTTCATGACCATGCTCCAGCTGCTCAAAACCAAGGCCGAGGAGCTCCTGAGCGACGAGACCAAGCTTCAGCGATGCATGACGGTCGATTGGACAGTCGAGGGCCCGACTGCCTTGAGCCCAGCGTGGGTGTACCACTCCTGGGATCCGAGTGCCAAGAAGCAGATCGTGGCGGAGACGCATCCGCTGGCGCATGCAGAGGCCCTTCGCCAGGTGGACCTCTTGCTCCATCATGCGCCCCAGGACGGCGCGCTGAAGAACTTCAAGACGGCTCGGCGCATGTCGGCGAAGGACAGCTACACCGCGGAGGTTCTCCCTTGGATGGTGTCAATAGGGCTCCGGGGCGAGTCCAGCAACATCTGCTACCATGCACTCAAGATCTTGAGCGGCTCAGCGATCATGAAATTGATTGGCGTTCGAATCCGGCCGGAGCGAGGGCAGGAGCCGCAGCTGATCAAGCAGCTCAAGGAGTCCTACATGGGGACAACGTTCTGCGATTGGGCGAAGAACAGTGCGCCCTGGAACAGCGACGCCTAGGGCGCGCTGTTGCCGCACATGAGGTCGTGCGGCTATCCGTGGGCGCTCCTCAGCTTAAGCTTCCTGTAGCCAAGCTGCGCAATCGTACTGCATTGTGTTACTGCAACTCAATCTGCCAAGCACTATACTGGATTGGCGAGGTTTCCAATGATCCCTCCGCATGCTACGGAGCCTTGCAGGCTGGTCTGCGCGTGCTCCGTGCCTCACAAGACATCACTCTGCCCAGCTGCATTGCCTTTCGTGTGATCTTCTCAAGCTGGCAGCGCCTCCACACACAACATGACGCAGGCGAATTCCTGCTGCACTTGCTTGCAATCGCCAAGCCCGGGGCTTGCCAGTGGCACTGGGAAGCCCGGCTAACAAACCCGTATCGTGTCCATGACTCAGGTGACCCCGGCTGCCCGCTACTGCTGACGTTACCAGGCGAGTCCCTGCAGGGATTACTGGATGCGTGGCATAATCAGTATGCAGTACATGCTCTCACACGACACACTGGCTGCCTGTTCTTGCAAATCTGTCGATACAGTTCGCACACTGCCAAGAACCAGCAATATCTGCCAGTGCGACCAGGTGCAGTGGTGGCCTTGCCTGTTTTCACTGAGGATGGCGATGCCTGCACGCGATTAGAGCCTTTTCGGGTCATTGCAGTAGTCTTTCATCTGGGTCCCACAGTAACTAGTGGTCACTATCAAACCCTCCTAGGGATGCCTGCCGACAATGATTGGATGTTGTATATTTGCGATGATAATCGCAAACCTAGGAAGGCAAATAATAAAGACCTTGCCCTGGTAGATCATAATGCCTACCTGGTGGGGCTTCTGCGATGCCCTTAATGACAGATCGGGGCAGCAGGGGGCCCCGCAGTTCCATGATGCCCCTGCCAACTTATAACAGTCGCCGGCCGAAGCGTTCAACGACTGTTGCCAGTCGAAACAAGCTGCCTTTGGCTGTGTGACCCGCGCCTTGTCCTGTGCATTGCGTTTTCTTGTCATACACTTCTTGATGTCCGTTCAACATGTACGTTGCTGCAGTCGAGCACAGCCGGAACTGCGACTGATGCCTCTCTGGCAACCAGCTGGCTCAAGAGGGAGCGGAGGCCTAGGTCGGCCTACTGCTGTCCGTGCGAGGTGCACGGCATAATCGCCCGTGTCTCAGCTCCTCAGTGCTCCTGTATCGGTAAAACATACATTGTTGCGCACATCTTATTCCCGGTTACGCGCGGCCCTGCTCAGCTTTTGCAGGTTCCAGCCTGGTTGCCTAGGTCGGCTTCCGGGCCCTAGGTGGGGTGCCTAGGTTTTGGGTCCCAAAATGTCTGTGCTGAGCATCGAGCTGCCGCGCCACATACAGTATGCTGCCATGGAAGAGATCTTGCTATTGCAGGCTCTTCGCAACCTCTACCAACCACGACAGCTGGATCCATGTTTTGCATTATTTACGCGCAATGAGATAGTGTATGCGGCGCATCTCCTACCTGAGTCGGAGCTGCGCACATTCCTTCGTTATACAGATCAGCTGGCACGGAGTCTGCAGGCTGATACTTTGGTGCAGCTGCCGCCGCCCGGTGTGGAGCTCTGCCGCGGGGCCAGTCGTGCCGAGACGATTGCTCACGCCTTCCTCGCGGAAGGTACCTGCTCGCTCTGGTCAGCGGTGCGTGAAGTTGTCCGCGACCTTGGTTATGCAGCTGATCGACGTATCATTGCTGATGGCTATATCTTCCGTTTGGGGCTGTACAACAAGGGCGGACTGGTGGGCCTGACCAGTGAGACCAAACGTCACCAGGCCGTTTGTCGCCTACTTAATACATTGGTCATTGCCACTCTAGGAACGCATCGTTGGACAAGCTTGTCAGTCAACATGAACTGCAGCACGGAAGTCCACAAGGACCAGTGCAATGCCTCCGAGGACCACCTTCAGAGCCTGCAAATCGGACTGTCGCATTATGATCAGGGCGAACTTTGGATTGAGGATCCAAAAGGATGCATCTACCTGGAACACCATCGCGATGGTCTGCTACGAGGCAGTGCGCATAACACCCAGGCCACCGCCAGCCTGTTCCATGCACAGAAGCATTACCATGCCACACTGCCCTGGAACAATGGCGACCGGGTGGTCCTGATTGCGTACGTTGCGCGCCAACATGCATGCGCGGTGCAGCGCTATGGTGGCATTCTGGAGGAGGCTGGCTTTGTCTTGCCACATCGCGGAGTGGAGGGCACGCCGGGCGCGCCAGACGAGCCTCACTCCCCTGCAGACGTGGCACTGGATCTTGAACTTAGCGAGCTAAGTGAGCCTCTTGAGGCTGCAGCGGCGTGTAATTTTATGGAACAGGGTCTTCACTTCCACAATTCTTAGATTGGGCCAGGGCTGAGCGCCGAGCGCCGTGATGGCTGCTGGCTGCTGGCCACAATACCGGGCACATTTGCACTCTATCAAATATGGCCTGTTAAGTGTAGTTAGGTGTAGTTCCCCCCACCTCCCCCGACTGTACAGCACGTAAGCACTATGCTTTGTGTGAGCCGCTACTTGCATACTCCTGATGTGCAAACCGTGCTCTGTTTTGGGTTCATCTGGGGAAAGATGCTCGCTTTGCGACAACCAGTCAGGCTTAGCTGTCTATCTGGACAGCCGTCCGTGCACTACGGCAGCGCTTGAGTTCCTAAAAGATTGAGACCGCCGCTTGTGTGCCTAGCTGGTCCTGCCAACCAGAGCCTTACTCCAGTCCGGTGCACATGCGCTGCACTGCTGCACCACTGCTGCCCTGCGATCCTCTTCAACCCCCCCCCTTGACGTTTGCACTGTCACTCAGGTCTCAACATGGAGTCTTCTGCGATGCCAGCTGCGCCCGCAACGCACTCCACCAGGCCGCTGCGCTCGAATGAGTGGGCGAACACAGGTGGTGCTAGGCGCCACAGACGTCGTGGTGGTGGTCGGCACTTTCATGGCACAAGTGCAGACCCACAGGGCGAAGGTCGGCGTGATTCTCCATTGTTTGCATGCCAAGTGGTAGGCTGTGTGAGGCGTTACCGCAAGGGCTATCACAAGCACTGCTGCGGCTTATGCACAGTTGGCCATCACACAGCTCGATGCGACAAGGAGTGGCGCAAGGTGCAGCTTTTGCCACTTCGGGGTCAAATCAGTGCATGTGTGACTGCTGGCTGCTTCCGCATTGCAGGCTACAGCCATGTGCATTGCTGTACTGATTGTGTGCCATCAGAAGGTCGATTGCACACAAGCACCTGCCAGCGACGCCAAGACCTGGCCTATGTGGTCGCGGGAACTGCTTGCAGCTCGGAGTCGGCACCCAACATGGAAGCAGCTGGCGTAACTGGGGTGGGAACCACTGCGAGATCAACGACAGCGATGACTGCACTATCTTCCCTGGCCGATGTTCCGAGTCGTGATGCTGCAGCTGTGGCTACCTCTACTGAGAGCAAGCCTCAAAGCGTGAAGGGCGGTGAAGCTATAGAAGTCTCTTCGGATGAGTCCTCTGAGGAATCTTCTGGGGATTTCATGTTGATTTCGGTCACTGGTGGAGCGACTGCCAAGATGGCTGAAAGTGCTTCGGTTGCCGCTGAGCCCAAGTCCGCACCTCTATATGAGGCCGGATCTGGAATCTGCCTGCACATGATGGACTAAATGTGCTTGTTCGCTCTTAGAGATTGGGTTCTGCTCAACAAACAATTTTGATGCGCATATGAGTTGTATGACCTGAGGGAACTGCCAACAGAGCAGTGCCATCCTGAATGGCCGAGTGCTTGAAGCACCTGTCCCCGCTTCGTCCAGCACTTCAGACGGTGCGACGTCCGCAATGCAATACTACTACTACTACTACTACTACTACTCCTACTACTACTACTACTACTACTACGAATACTACGAATACTACGAATACTACGAATACTACTACTACTACTACTACGACGACTACTACTACTACCACTACTACTACTACTACTACTACTACTACTGGGTGAGATTTTAGAGTGCGACCTAGCTCCAGCTCAAGTTTCGGATACTGTGCCATGGTGAGGCCTGCTTCAATAATTAGAATAGGGTTGCTCACGGTTCCTTAGTGCTCTACTATAACATACCCCAAAAAGCGGTTCTAGATAATAAGGCCCTTACAGCACTCTCTTATGCTAGGGGGTTCGTGGCTCAAGGGACATAGTCACTAGAGTTCTCAGCAAGGCAGTGATTAAGATACCTCAACTTCATCCGGTAAGGTACTGATAACCCCAATGACATGAAAACCTACCTACTACATGCACACTCCACACTAAACCCTAAACTCTAGAACCCTAACCCAAAAGCTCATGTTGAGCCGACAAACTAAGCCATGTCTGAATCTCCACCAGGACACTGCACTCGCCGCCAACACCCACCTGCGGCTCTACTTTATGTTCAGGACTTCGGAGCTCAACTTAGAACTTGGGTGAAGCCGGGGAGGGGGGGAGGGAGAGGAGCGATGACGATATGGTGATCGCGACATGACGATGGCGAGATGATGCTGCTGTGGTGATGATGATGATGATGATTGTGATGATGACGACATGATGATCGCGACATGACGATGTCGACGTGATGACGGCGTCCAAAAACCGAAACACCGCAATGGACCAAGACATATCGAAACTGTCGGGATTCTGCGATTTCGTCGGGTCGTACGAAATGCTGCCAAAAAAAATCTAACTCGCCTCCCTGCTGCGAATCCTGCATGAAACACAGAGCTTTCGTGATGTACTGAAGTGCTACTCCGCACTCGCACGACAAAACCTGGAGTTCTTGCCCGTTTTCGTCGTCCTAACGATGCCAAAACCTTGCCTTGTAAGATCTGCACGCTCGCGCACTTGCAAGCCATAAGTGTGTGCGAAGACAACATGTTCCGACTAATGTGCCCTGCTGCGTAAGTGCAAAATTCTCGATATTTGCGGTGCTTTCGAGCGCTTACAACAACTTCTTCTGTTATACTTCCCCATGGTCTCCGGGACACCCTCAGGGATATGCTTATTATGGTTCTATTGCGGGCCTCCTGTCTCGTGAGTTGTACACTTCATGCTGGGGGAGCTGCATGGTTCAATCACACTGTGCTGATTACAGCGTTAGGGTTTAGGGTTTAGGGTTTAGGTGCCACTGTCAAAAACACTTCTACACTCATGGTTCCTATTCGGATCCATATTGGAACACACAACTTCCGCATGAATACCTGAAGCGCAGGACAACACCTCCGTGAAAGCAAAAAAAACTTCAACCATGCCAACCCACTTAAACCTGCTAATCCTTTAGCCCGGGAGACTCAGAACCCCCTATACCCCGAAGCCTTCAACCCCGAAAGTCGCAAACTCGACCATGCGAGCTACGACCACCAGGACCACTAGGACCGCCAGGACCACCACGACGACCGCTGCGACAAAGACGACTACGACAACCAGGCGACAACCAGCACACTGCTGAAAGAATCTCCCACAGGCACTGGCGGATCCAGGACCAAAGTAAAGGCTATTTCCCCCACGTACTGGCGCGATTCGAGACCATGGCGCTGAGGCTTCCCCTCCTTTGACTGATCTACAAGGACACCCCAAATCTCAGGCCTCCCGGCGAACTTTGTCATCCTCTGTCAATAACAGGACGCGGTCAGGACGCGAGCAAAACCTATGTACCGCACAGACAGAGCCCGCACGGATCCTGTTGGGTGATGAGATACTAGGATGCAGGGAGCACATTTGCACCGCATCCGATAAATGGTAGGACGGACGCGGGCAGCCATTTTGGGGCACGGACGCCGAGCGTTGGGCCTATCAACTCTCTTTACACTGTAGCACTGCGTGTTGCCACA